AGCTTTAAAATACCAAATTATAGCTTTAATGCGATGATTTTCCGCGATCAGCTGATGCTCCTGGCTCATTTTGGCGTGTTTGTCCGTGGATGACCCTTGTTTATATTTCTGCCTTGACACCCCTAGAGGGGTCAAATTACTACCCCAATAAGCACAGAGACACGTAGACATCATCCCAGAAACTCTTGATTTTGCCCCATAAATTTCCGTAATTTTGCAATTTTCGGCGTGAAAAATGAGAATTGACCCCCATCTTGGAACTGGACATCTATAAACCGGGCCAAAACACGATCAGGCTGATCTCTTGGAATATAGTTACTTTTCTCGCGTAAGCTGTACAGTCTCGTACTCAGTCCTGATTTGACCTAGAATCCCGAACCATTTGCGTTCCGTACCATTCCTCTTCTCAAGCACCATTTTACGGCCCATAGGCGAGTCCTGGGGTCACGAACAGATCCAAAGGGAATCCCGAATCGAATGCCGTATAATGCCGAAGGGATTTAACAAATATTTGACGACAATCATAAAAATGTAGCTGTCGCTATCCCTTTAAAACCCAAGAAACGCTTTGAGGGTTTTTGCTTCAATCCTTTTGAATTTTGCTGTGACGCTCCGTTTAATTGCGAAAATCGGCTAATTTTCGCCGAAGAGTCGAGTTTTTGATTTTCGAGCTATGGCTTCTTATTGAAAATGTGACTGACTCATTTTTTGAAATTTTCAGCGTCGAAGCAGCTAGATTTAGCTCTCAGGCTCCGCTAGAATTCCGAAAAGACGACGATTGCGCAAACAAGTCATTATTTCCGATGTACGGTTACGGATGGCACGCACGCGCCGTTAAGGGGGGGCCGGAGGGAGGGGGGCAAAGGACCGGGGACGGGCGCCCAAAAAAAGGGGGGCGGGGGGGGGGGGGCCCCCCCCCGCCAACCAACCCCCCCCCCCTTCTTTCGTCCCCCCCCCCCGCCCCCCCCCCCCCCGAGGGGGCGGGCAAAGGGAACAAACCAAAAAAAAAAAAAAGGGGGGGGGGGCCGCCCCCGCCGGCGGGCGGGGTGTTTTTTTTGGGCCGCGGAGGGGGGGGGGCCCTTTTGCTTAAAAAGCATTCGTGGTTCGGGTTCATTCGGGTTTTTCCTAGCTGTTACTGTCCCTTCAATGCCATTTTTGATGGTTTTTCCAACATTTTCTGGATTAACTAATCCAAATCAAGCCGACCAATTGAAAAATGTCTGCTGTCTTATGCCCAATGTTCTTTTTTTCACGACCGTTCCACCTTTTCCAGTGTAGCGAGTACGGGATAGTACCCTTTTTACCCGCTCCCCCAACTTTACCTCACCCTTCATTTCGCGCTTTCACGCGCTAACGCGCTAACAGTGTGCAAAGCCCCCTTTCACCCCCCATTCATTTACTGATCGGTTCACGTCTGGAGGTGTCAGTCGGCTCACGCCGCCCACAAAAGGAAAGCGATAGAGAGAGGAAGAGATCACTCTCTCTCTCTCTCACTCTCTCTCTCTCTCTCTCTTTCTCTCTCTCCGCTCTATTTGATGGTTCTCCGTGACCGAGGTGTCGCTTTGGGAGTGTGGTGTGGGGACCCACATACCCTAAGGCTACGGACCCAGGGCTCCCGGTCCGCCCGAACAGATTAGAATCGGCATTTTCTGCTATCAACCCCCTCTCCCCTCCCCGAATCAATCACATGAGCCGGATTAAGGGTCTACCGTTTCCGGTTTCCGCTTCCGTTTCCCTCGTCTTCTTTGGGGCCCGGTTCGATTTCTGGTTCGATTTCTGGGCCCTTGGCAATGTGTGTTTGATCGAGATCGAGGACTAGATGTTTTTGTGTCTCGATGAGTGTTGAAGAACTGCTATCATTTGATGATGTCTTCCGAAGCGCTCTCCTTGCTTAAAATGAATTAATTAATCGGAATTAGCATTCCGCTCGTTTTCAGCTCCTTTCTGGGTCCAAGAACAGCTTCAAGTAGTTTTGATGATTCCAGAAGCCGATCACTCCCGTATTTTACGGTTTTTAGCATTTGAACATTTTACTCTCTGGCGCACACTTGTCTTTTTTATCGCTCGCTCACCTGGCTTTCAGCTCTTCAGCTTCAGCTCATCCGTTAGCTTCAGCTCCCGTAAGCCGCGAGGCAAGAATGCGTCTTTTTATGGCATCTGTTGCAACCGCTAGATCTCTCTTACTCTCTCTCCCGCTCTCCCCCGCTCCTATATATCCTTACCTTTCTCTACGTCTATCTTTCTTTCTATCTATCGCTCGCTCTCTGGCTCACTCGTTTTCTCTCTCTCTCCCTCTCTCTCTCACGCTCTCTCTCTGTCCACTCTCCCTTTTTCTCTCGAACTCTCTATCTTGCTCCCTTGCACTCTAGCGGAACCTCTGAGGCATTTGAGGGCCATTTCAAAGTCTCAAAGATTTCAACACAAGGCTTTCAAAAAAAAAATTGAGTCCAGAAGATAACTGAATTTTCTGACGTCTGACGTCTGACGCTTACCTCAAACTTGAGCTAGATCGACTAGGGCTTCTGCAGTCGACTTAAAATCCGTTTCTCTGATTTTTATGGACCTTGGACCCGGGCAAAAATCCATCCTAAAGCAGAAGAGCCGAAAACACAGCGCGCCCTTCCCAAGTCGTTGTTCTTGTGCTGTTTCGAGGGGATCGGCTCGTAGCTGTGGCCCCTACTCTGTCTCTCTCAATCCCCCCACTCTCCCTCCCTCCCCTAGCCCTTCCGCATCCGGATCATGCCTGTCTGTCTGTCCGTCTCTGTCCGGCCATCCGTCCGTCTGTCCAGTGGATTCCAGCGTACACGGCTCCCACTTGAACCCCGTCCATCCTCACCATCCACCCCACCATGCACTTCCTCTTGTCCGGCAAGGCCTTCGGGCCCTCCAAAAATTGACTCCACTCCTGAGTTTTTAGGGTTGTAGTGGGGGTCCTAAAGGGCCTTTGCTAGCTTACCAGGGTTCTATGGATTTTCCTCAAAAATCTCTGCTAGTTTGCCTTGAAAATAGCCCTCTTGTCCTCAGGCATGTCTGCCAAAGCGTTTTTCTTTTCTGGTTGACTATCTTCGTCTTCAAGCTCCTTCCTAAAGAATCCCTGCTAGCTTGACCATCCCCAGGATTGCTCCAAGAACCTCTGCGAGCCTACCTGGCCGTCAAGCCGACTCCTGTCTTGAGCGATCTCGGCTCGATTACTTGTGCTTTCTACCACCTGTCTTGATGCTCGTGGACCTCCCAAAGAATCTCTGCCAGGCTGCCTCGATCCCAGGCCCGCACAAAGATTATTTGCTACCCCGCCTTGCCCATTCTTTTCCCAAAGCATCTCCGCTAGCTTGCCCAGATCACATGTCAGATGTCAGAAGTCCTTAACCTCAAGCCTTTTCCTAAAGAATCTGTGCTAGTTGGCCTAGTTCCCAGGTGAGTAGAAAGAGTTTGCCAGAGCTACTCTCAAAAATTCTCTGCTAGCGTTGCTGAACCCCCGGTTTCCCCCCGCGCTTCTAGGTTGCCTGAAGTCCAGGCGGCTTTATTCGATGAATCTCTGCTAGCCTGTTACAGCCTCAATCCTATTAGTATGTCGTCCTGGTTTCCTGAAGGGTATTTGCTAGCTTGCCTCGAATCACTTGCGATTTCGACCAGCCCGTTCTCCCAAAAATAGTTGCTAGCGGTATCAAAGTCTATTGGAAACGCCCCGCTTTTCTCAATAATTTCTCCTGGCTTGCAAAACGTATTTACGGATTTTAAAGATTCCAAGTAAACCTACCGTAATCACTTTCGTATCTCCCATCGCTTCCAGATGACTAAAACCCTTACGGAAACTTGACGAAACCCGTTGTTCCGATCGCTTGAAGGCTTGCCCAACTTTCCGCAACCATCCTCTTTAGGCTCCAACCCCCCGATTGTTTGTCAATTTCATCAGACTAGGAAGTGTTAGACCCAGCTGTCATCTAGTATTTCCGGTTTTAGCCACATTTCTTCCGAAAGCAAATGGCAAGAAACCCGCATTTTTTTGAGAAGGTCGCATTGTCAGCTGGTTGTCGATGAACGCACTCATATTCTGGGAGTCGGGCATCCGGTCCTACCATCTTTCCTTCTCGAGCTGCTTCCAGTCTACATTCTAGTCATTTATTGGCAGCTCTTCGCTTCCTAGGGTCCACTTTCGAAGCTTGAAATCAATCTACCGGATTGACGACTTTTAAAATAGCTAGGAAGTGCCAAAATCGACCCCTAGCCACAGACCAGGTATCGACAGTCTGCGCGACGCTCTTATAATTTTCTCGCTTATGCCCGTATTTTGGGGTGTCGCATGTACACCCAATCTGCAAGAGAAATCGACTATCCTAATCTTTTTTGAACTTTTCTTGAAGCCTCTGAGTAGCAGCAAAGTATACCTTCCTACCCGCTGGATCTCGGCAGAACGCTTCAAAAATTACTTGAAGAAGCATTCCGATCGCCACGAAATGCACCGATAGCTGAAAAAATCAGGTGTCTACTGATGCGTAATTTGGGGCTAATCGTAAGTCTCTATGCTCGGTGGAGAGAACATTCATAAAAATTTTTTGTAATTTTTCTATGTATTTAGCCTGTTTTTTATCGCCGTTGTCTTTTGCCGTATTCTTTTTGGAACGCTTGACAGATGTTTTCTTGCTCCTTTCCGCTATCCAGAAAAGTGCAATCGATTCCTCTTCTCTAATTCCGGTCCAGTACAACTTCCGGACCTATAGGATCAAGGTTACGTTACACTGCGATTTGCTCTTTTTTAGTGCATTTTCCGGTTTTCCTTTTCCCGTTTTTCTTGAATTCAGAATAACGAACTTCACGGCGGTTTACCTTGCTTTTTTCCAGGATCGCACCCCATTCCGCGCGAGGCCTGTGGACGAGCGCTCGATTCCGATTTACGCACCGCACGCCGCGTACTCCCGCGTTGCCAGCTGGGCTGTAGAGATACCTCGCGGATTCGAACAACTATCCCATTGAGGGGCAACAAATAGAATCCACCCCCAGAAATGCGGCAACTCGCCGCGCTGCCTTTTCTTCCGCTGATTCTTCTCTTTAATGCAGGTCGGTTTAACTATTTTAAAATCTGGGCCAGCCAGAAGATCCAAAGTTAACTTTTTGCTTTTTAGCCCTATCATCAGTATTGGCACAAGGCCAAGAAGACGACAGTGCTTATCATTTCTCGCCTGGCACCGGCGGACGAGCAGCATGGGTTGTCGATCAGGACAGCCTGCCGTGGATCGGATCTTTTGAATATTTGAGGTGGGACGATTTTCTGGGTCATTGCCCTCTTTCCCTCTTTCGCTCTCTCTCTCTCTCTCTCTCTCTCTCTCTCTCTCTCTCGCTGCCTCTCACGTAGACGGTTCAGTTTTAGCTTTTTCACTTGCTATTTTTCTAAGTTTATAGGGGGGTAGAAACAAAAAAGGGGGGGGGAAACCCCAAAAACCCCCCATTTTTGTTTTAGGACTGGACAGATACGCTGAGCATAAAAACGCGTAACTTATTAGTTTTTTTATCCATTTTCCCTTTATCCTTGATCCAAAAACCAACTTCAACTTGTCATTTGGGGTATTGCGTAGTAGTCTACACCTAATCGACGCAATACCCCAAATGACTCCTCCGGATCCCTTCAAAAGCAGTATTTCACGTAACCTAACGTTGTGCTACGCCACGATACCTAAAAGTACCTTTTAAAGCAATCGAGTCGTGGTTTTTGGACCTTAAGTAAGACCGGAAGTAACCTGAAACCCCTACTCGTTACAAAAACACCCAATTAGTGCCTAAATAGCTCCCCTTTCTTTACTCCCCACCCTTTAGAGGTGTTGGTTGGATCGTGGTTAAAGTGATGGGGAGGGCTGAAGCGTGCCTCGTGTTTCTCTTTTACAATTCTCTATCTCTAATTCTCTCTATTTTCCGGGATCTCTAGCCCAGAGCCCCCCAGGGCCCCCAGCACTTCTGATTGCGTAACTGTCAGTGGGTGGGGGTTCTCCCTCCCCTCGGGCGTCTCGAGACTCTGTGTCAACAGTCTTCTACCAGAGAGAGCGAGGAGAAGAGAGAGACGCAGAGAAAAGAGACGAATAGGTGGCTCAGAATCATTCATTCCACAAGACACCTTTGCACGCTGAAGAAGGGGGGAGAAGCTCCAGAGCTATCCAGGGGAATCAAATTTATGGTGATTTGATTTGGTTTTGGTTTAAAGGGGCTAGGAAGCCACCAATTTCAGGAAAGCGAGAGAGGGGAGAGAGTGTGAGAGAAGCAGAGATAGTCAGAGATAGAGAGTGAGAGAGTGATAGAGAGAGAATGAGAGAGAAACAGAGAAAGAGAGAGAGAGAGAAAGAGAGAGAGAGAGAGAGAGAGAGGGAGGGAGAGAGTGAGATAGAGAGAAAGGGAGAGAGAAAGGGAGGGAGGTGAGAGAGTGAGAGAGAGTAAGTGAGAGAGCGCGTGAAAAAATTAATGTAACTGGTTTTAAAAGATTGGTAGGCCAAATACCAGTGGTTTCTATACCTGCATTTGAGGTCCAGAATTTGCAAATTGACTATTCTATTACATTTTAAAGGGGCTTGGAAGCGAAAATTTTCCGGGACGGGACCGTATTTCGTCGAAAGGAGCAACAACGTCAACATAAACTTGTTTTCAGCAATGACAAATCGCCAGCTACCGTGTTGATGACGGTGGTGGACAGTTCAACGGGTGCCCCACTTGGAGAGTGTTCCGTTATGAATGCTGACAGTAAGTACCATTTGCTTTACCGTACCTCCATGGTGACAATAAAAGTCCTTTTTGGTTCTAGTGGTTGGTGCTATTGAAAATTTTAGAAGACGAATGGGAACAGCTCATCTGGACACTTGCGTCTGACGGGTTGACGTGTAACGTCTCCGAGACCAACTCTTCCAAAGTTCGATTCCCGCTCTCCGCCCATCCCCGGACATTCTCTGTCCGCATTCAATCCGGTGGGCAATTTCGCATTTTTGCGTTGATAAAAGTGCAAATGTGGTATTTGAAAAAGCTTTATCTTAGAAAATTGGGCGTTAAAACTATTTTTACAGTGCGTGGCCCGCGGTGTATCCGGGAGATGACCGTGCAAAACGAGCGCCCCATCGGATGCCCGCCCCATTTGAAGCAGAACGCGTTCACCTCGGCCGGCATGTCTTGTGGATGCCCATATGTTGCCGATTCTACCGGTAAGCTAGGCAAGGCTTTGGTTTTTCACTAGCTGTTCTGTTAGCGGGGGGGACGAGTTTAAGTCCGGTTAACAGAACAGCGTCAAATTCTCATTTCCAGCTTCAACTTGCCTTATTTCCGCATTTTTGGTTCTACATGTTTTGATTTTTTCGTTTTTCAAGGCCCAGCTTTTCCTCTATTCCGTCTGGCTCCACCAGGTACACCCATAAAAACTCATTGACGTAGAAAAATGCGTGACGTGCCGATCCTTAAAATGCAATCCCTAAAACCTACCATGCCACCAGCCACACCCTCATAAACATCCGCGTGTAGTGTACACTGATCGAGTAACCCAAAAATCGCATTAGATAGTGTTAGAAATCCTCATTCACTGTTTATTTTTTACTAAAAAATTCACAGTTTGCGTGCGTGTACTGTATATAATTTTGGTTTGCCATTAACCCCACCGAATTACCGCCAATAACCAACATTTTTAGCGGAAGTCGACGGACGCGACCCGGCCTTCCCGATTTTGGATCTGGCGGGGGTGAGTCAATTTTGGAAAAATCGTACTTGGAGAGGGCTAACTAGCAGAAATCATTAGGCAACGCTTTTTACTATGGTCAATATAGCGGAGATTCTTTCGGAATTTACATATTATGAGGTCAGCTAGCAAGGATTTTTAGGAATTTTAATGAGGCCAGTTAGCAGAGATTCTTTAGGAGTTCAGTTACGTCACGGAGCAGAGATTCTTTGCGCCAGCTAGTATTGCCCGTTTCGAAGGTCGCCTAGGCCAGTTAGCAAGGAATTTTTGGGACTTGATCCTGTGCAGGTTAGCACCGATTCTTTAGTGATTCCCTTTGGCAAGTTAGCAGAGATTCTTGAGGAATCACATTAGGTCAGCTAGCAGAGATTTTTAGAAGTTCCCTATGAAAGGAAGCAGAGATTCTCTAGGAGTTCACATAGGTCAGCTAGCAGCGATACTTTGAGGAATTCACCAAGGTCAGCTATCATACATTCTTTAGGAATTCACGTGGCTGGCAGAGGGTTTTCTGGAATTTCGGCCTATTAGGGTATCTCGCAGAGATTCTTAGGGAAAACATTGATGTCAGTTACCAGAGATTCTTTAGGAATTTATGCATATTAGGTCCTCTAGCAAAGATTCATTCCCCCCCCCCCCCCCCCCCGGCCCCCCCCCGGGGGCGGGGGGGGCCCCCCCCCCCCACCCCCAGGGGGGGGGGGGGCCCCCCCCCCCCAAGGGGGGGGGCCCCCCCCCCCCCCCGGCGGCCGGCCCGCCCCCCCCCCCCCCCTAGGGGGGCCGTGGGGGGAGCCCCCCCCCCCCCTTTTAAGGAGGATTCCTATTATGAGGCCAGCTATTATAGCAGAACCTTTCGGGAATTTGTCTAATTGAACTAGTCAGGACTCGCTAGGAAAACAGTCAAGGCAAGCTAGAAGAGATCCTCTAGATTCTTTGGCAACACCTCAATTTCAGAACCCTTCCCCCTCCCCACAACCACCAGCGCAGCCATTCACGAGTGGACCCTGTGCTGGGATTGAGTGTATGAACAATGGGACTTGTGTTGTTGGAGCCGATGGGCAGGTACAGCATTCATAAATACACTGTTAAAATCTATAAGAATAAAATTATCCTGGTTACAATAGTATATTGCGGTTACGATCTTCTAACCTCCAGAGTTTAGGCGACTTGCATGTGCCACAACGGCTTCTCCGGCTCCCGCTGCCAATTGGACATTTGCGCCTCGGTCCCTTGTGGAAATGGCGGAAAATGTCAGGCGACCGGATCGACGGCCGTATGCCAATGTCCACCGCATACCACGGGCATCTTGTGCGAACAGGTACGTATTTTACGTGCTTACACTTCTATGGCCTTGCGAATCCCTTTAGAAATCATTAAGTAAATTCTACTTTTTCCAGATAATCTGCGAGCCAACGTGCGCCCAGGGTGAATGCACACTTGTTGAGGGAGCACCGCTTTGCCAGTGCAGCCCGGGCTTCATCGGGCCAAATTGTAACGTCATCGATGTCTGCATCGGGTAGGCTAGTTCTCTATTTTTTGTCAAGACCTCATCGAAAAAAGAAGTGGATTTAAAGGCGTGAGTAGAAAGTAAATTAAAATTTCAGTGACGCTGCGTGCGCAGTATTTGGCGAGCATGCCAAATGCACCCTTGATACGGCCTCGTACACTACCGTATCCCAGAAGGTGGTCAACGCCTCCTATGATTGTCACTGCCCACACCCGCAGACCGGACGTAAGTTTTTGAGCTACGATACTTACCGGCCGCTGTAAAGCTGGTTTTGCCGATTTCCAAATACATATTTGATGGAGAACTCCGGACTTTTCTTGCAGTCGCAATTTTTCGGCATTTGCCGAATCGTCAGATTCCGAACCGATACGAACAGATGAATTTTCGTCGACGATTCCAAATTATAAAACACTTTAAATCTTGCAATAAAAATCTAAAACAGAAAATAAACTTAAATTCCTTGAAAAATATGCGAAAGGCTCGATTTCAGAATGGATGGACTGCCTGGCGCTCGTTTTGTCTTCCACGCCGCTACCAAGCGGAATCGACAGCTCGATCGGGTCAAAGGTATGCAAAGCGATTAACAAAATGTTAAAAACCCATACCTATTTAATTTAAAACCAAAAGACAATTCAAGTAAACTTAAATTTTTCCATGTTTGTCGCCTAAGATCATTTTATTTGATAAAAACCCGGTGAAACTGCGCATTTTTGGCATGTTAAACCCCGCTCCTAAAAAGCATGAATATTCGGCCGGACCGGTTCAGTTTTTTATTTTCTACAGGAAGAAGCTACCGTAACCACTTCCGCTTCCACCCCGACATCCACCGTCCGGGTTCCGATCGTTCCTCTGAACGCCCATAATGTCGTCACGGCCACGGCAACCCCACCCCGGATCATTAGTGTATCGACAACGCCCTCGACTACCGTATCCACCACATCCGCTTCTACGGCCGCCTCCACCGCATCCCAGGTGCTTTTATCGGCTTTCTCGGCTTATCCTGGGGGTCTATGCAGATTTGCCCCGATTTTCGCAAGCCGCATGCCGAGACTGGTTTAGTTTTGGGTATCGAAGAGGCATAAATGTGACAATTTGCAAATAGAAATCTTTATGTAAACTAGCGATTCCCGGTTTTTAAAGTAGATTTCAAAAATTTCGATTTTAGTAGCTAAAAAGCTGTTAAAAATAAGTTGTGTTCTTTTTTGTTCAATTATCCCTTTCCCAGCTTCTACAGAAATAACCTGAAAATTAAAATGGTACGGAAGAACATTGATGTTGTGCCACTGCTCAATGATTCGGGGACGATTTTATGTTAATGTTTCCAGATGAACTTCCTGCCATTCAACCCGAACGTCCAACCGAATCAGGTGCCCGTCCGGCCAATGGTGAGTAGAAAATTGGCATATTCTGATTCCGTGAAAAATTTGCCGCCGTCTCTCCCCCACCCTGTCTCTCACGCTTTCTCTTCTCTCTCTCCCTCTCCCTCTCTCGCCTGATCGCCTCCTCGCTCTCACTAGCTTCGTGTTCTCGCTCTTTCTCACTCGCTCACTCTCTCTCACTCTCTCTCACTCACGCTCTTTCCCTCTCTCTCTCGCTCTCTCTGTCTCTCTCTCTCGCTCTGTCGCTCTCATCCACCTCTTACAGGTCCCCTCAACGGTAATCCCCAGCGGTGAGGAGACAGAGGAGAGTGTCGAGGCATCATCTGCCCCAGCTACCGTACCCCAGGGCTTCCGTCCATTCCCCTCAGCCCCAGTAGTGTTGGGCGGACAAAACGGAGGTGTTACTCCATTCCCAACCCCTGCCCCCGTTGATGTCGAAGAGGAGGGCGAGCGGACCACGGAAATTGAGGAGGAAGAGGTACGGTAATTGGTACCGTGGTGTACCGTAGAATTTTGCAATTTCTTTATTTTTACCACTTTATCAATTTTGAGCATAAAAATACATTTTCATTGTAGAACCTTGGCGCCGGTTTCGAGACGATGACCGCTGAAAATGGACCCGATCCGTCGCAATTCAACACGCAGACTGGAATGAGCACCGAGGGAGAGGGTACGGTAGTTGGGTCACGACGTAGAAAATTAAGCAAAAATTTAAAAAATGCCAAAATCTATAAGTTAGATAACTCCGTTTGTAATTCAATATTTTCTCTATTTTCAACGATACGTCAGCTTGACACATTCATAACCCATCGAAGATACGGTAGCTCAGATACGTTCAGTAATCAATAGAAAAAGCCGAAACATGCTTAGAAGCTGAAAAAACAGTGCGCAAAAACCTTTATAAAAGTATTCTGCTACCATTAGGTGGATACAGTAGGTTAATCGTTTTACAAAAAAGTTAAAAGACGATTAAAGCATACGGTGGCTTGGTCAGGGTTTAGGAACCGTCGAAAATCCACGAAAATTTGCTTTAAAAAAATCATCAGATAATCAAGTAATCTGTCTTCACTGTTTTTCCAGGCTTTGGAACAATAAGGTAGCCTAAGCTCATTTTAAAACCTTCAAAAATGCCTGGAAAGTACGGTAGCTAGGGCGGGTTTTAGCAAATTTCGCAAAACCACGGAAAATTAGGGGAAATTCCCATAAAATCCTTTTTTGCGCTTAACGGTTCACAGTAGCCGCCGTAGCTTGGGCACAATTTAGGAAACATCAAAAAATTCTAAGAAAATCGCTTATTTTCCAGAAGAATCCGAGGAAACGGCCACCCAGCCCGCCCCGACCCAGCAGCCATTGTGGCCGATGCAACCGCATGGCAGCACTTTGCCTCCGACGGAGGTTACGGTAGGATGCGCTCACTAACATATAACTTTTCATTAATACAGGAATCCGAGGAGACGTCAGTCGAGACGACCCAATCGGTGTTGCCGTTCTGGATGATGTCCACCACTAGCACATTGCCACCAGCTATTCAGGTATGGGATTTAAGGGATGGAGACAGCAGGGTGGATTACGGTATTAATTGCTTTTTTAGCCTTCGACCACGCGATCGACGACGATTTCTACAACTGTCACTACCACAACACCGACAACGACGACGACTGAGGAGGCCATGTCGGAAGAGGTCTCCGAGGAGGTTACGGTGAGTGAGAGAGAATAGAGAGAGAGGGAGATAGAGAGAGAGAGAGAGAGAGAAAGGAAAGAGAGAGTGAGAGGGAGAAAGAGGTGAGAGAACGGTGAGAGTGAGTGAGGAAGACAGATCAGGAGAGAGAGAGAGAGAGAGAACGAGAGAGAGAGAACACCTAGAACCAAGTGCTATAACTGCATTCTAGCACCCGATCGAAGTAACAACCCGAGGCAACCACGTCCCCACTCACGAGCACGCGTGGCCCAAGGACACCGCGGCGCCCGGTAGGATTTTCATGTTTTTCACGTTTTGAAGCTCAGAAATGCCTTGACATATATGTACAAGCAATAATCATTCAATTTTACAAAAATCTTTTAGTGGAAGAAACGACAAACGGCGTCGACCAACCGGCCGGAAGCGCCAACCAGGCAAAGAGCAGTGCGGCCAGCGTCATCGTTGCCATCATTGCCGTTACATGTGAGTTTGAAATTTTGGCGTTCTGAAACCGACACTATAATTTTCGACATGATGAATTTTCGACATTATGATACCATATGGCAAATACACTTTGGCACTCCCCAGACTCTTTAAAATCTCGTTAAGCCCGCCTGTTAAACTCTCGATTTTTCAGTGATCGGCCTGCTCCTCCTCGCGGCCGCCTTCTTCACGATGCGCTACGTGCGGCAGTCGCGCAAGCTGCACGGCAAGTACAACCCGGCCCGAGAAGAGCACGCCCTATCCGCCGCCTACTCCCTTCCGATGACTCACGCAGCAAAGGACGAGCGGCTCATCTGAACACGCCGCATTAATAGATACTTGACTTTTCATAAGTTGATCTAGGGCCCAGGGTTACGGTAGCTTGGGTGAATTTTAACGCTTTAACCTAAAATTTGTAGGTAGATCTACCTGAACATCTCTAAAATCTCCAAAAATTCGTCTAAAAACTTCAAAAATGTCTCACAATTTAAAATGTCTAAAAAATTTTAGCGATTTTTGAGTTTGTCAAAAACACCATTAAAAGCTACTGTAATCCTGGGTCCCAACGGGAATTTTCTAACCCCACTACGAGCTTCAAAAACGCGTCTTTCAAAAAACCCGCATAAATTTTCCGCAAAACCACCCCCGATTTTTCTTTCAACGAATTTTGTGATAATTTCCAGAAGCCGTAATTGTCCTTTTTGGTTTTTTTTATTTTGTGTGTCAGTCGAGATGACGTTTGTTCGTCCGGCCCCCCACCCTCTCCCCACCCTCTCCCGACCCTCACCAACAGAACGCGCCCCCACGGGTATACGGTACACGCGTTTTGCTGCGCATTTTCAGCCACGCCCCCTGTTTTCGAGGTTTTTAAAGGGATTGTGAAAGCAAAAATCTATAGCCAACGTCGCAAAAAAAAGGAAAATTCTACTTTTTAGGGCATAAACCTCAAATATTCTCGTTTTTCGAAAATGGAACACGAAAATGCCGCACAAATAAGCTAAATTCTCGTAAATCCAAACCACAAATTACGCTACGTAAATCGGCGCTAAATTTGGAGTTAGGAAAAGCGGAAAAAGCAGAGTTTTGCCTTTTTGAAAAGAAAGAAAAGCTATTTTCGGCACCAAGCTCCAAAACAAACTTTTAAAAAGACAATACTTGTAAAATCTAACCCATAAATTACGTCATGTAAATCAGCGCTAAATTTAGCCATATAAAAATTCTAAAAAAATGAGTTTTGCCTTCTAAAACCCTTTAAAAAGCCTCAACCCCCACCCCTCCTTCGCTTAATCGGTTCCTCGCCATGAGGGTTCTATCATTTTCTTGATATCCAATCTTTATTACTATTCTACCCCCCGAAATTTGCTCAGCAAAAGAAACCACAAAAATTCTTTCATCCATTGATCGTTATTTTTGTAAAGATTTCTCTCGTTCGTCGCGCTCGGTGCCTTTCCCCCGTCGAATTTCCTTCGCTTCACCATCCGTATTTCACTTGTATTCCCCCTACATTAATAAATTATACTAAAAATTAAAATTATTAAGGCTTTTTCGCTCTCCGGGACCACACAAGTACTGTACAATACGACGTGCTAGGATTTCGCGTGTGTGTTTCTGTTTATCGAAAATAAATTGTCATCAAGTTTCAACATATAACGCTACACTTCAACTTGAAGAGAGAGAGAGAGAGAGAGAGAGAGAGAGAGAGAGAGAGAGAGAGAGAGAGAGAGAGAGAAAGAGAGAGAGATTTTGAGCGGGGGAGAGAGAGAGATAGAGAGACAAAATTATAATGATGGATATTTATCGCATCTGTAAAGGGCGTATTTGGAAGGAAAGTAATTCAAGAGTTCGAATTTCCACAATGTCCCTAGCTCGTCACGAACACGGCCCATCATCGGCGGCTTGTGCTGGTGGGCATCCTCGATGGTGTCGTTGGGGCGGGCCGTGGGCAACTCGTTCTGCTGTAAAGGGCGTATTTGGAAGGAAAGTAATTATTAGAACGACAGAGAGAGAAAGAAAGAGAGAAAGAGGGAGAGAGCGAAAGAGATAGACTTGGTATTCTAAAACGCAAACTGTCTAGGTTTCTAGACCATGCTAGCTAGCGCGGATTATACCCTTAATTGACGCTAGTAAGGCAAAGGTTCTCAATTATTTTGAACCACTTACTGCCTGAGGTTCCGGCAGCTGTGGCATTCGTACAGCCTTGCAGCCGGGTGCCAGCGGCAATCTTGCCAAATCCTCGAGCAGTTGCCCCACTAAAAGATACATTGAACCTCCCATAAACAACGTCCTAATCTAATTTTCGATTTTCCAGCCTGGCGGCATGTTTTTGAAAGTTATCTGCCAAAACATAGCTTGCAGGGCGTCTAACCAGTTGACCTGGAATTTTTGGGCAAAAAGGTAATTTTGGACGAACAATGCCGAAAATCAAGCGGAAAGTTCCAGGAAGTGGAAAATCGGAGAAGACGTATCTCCGCCACTGGTACGGAGCTCGATAGATAACTAGATCGTAAAATCCGGACACTTAATCGGACCGCTCGAGGGGTCTCTTTTGCGGGATCCGTTATAAGCCAGAGTCTAACGCACCCGGTTGACGGCGGCGACGATGGGCGCCGGGATGTTGGGCTGCTCTGTCTTCCCGGTTGACGGCAGCTCGTTCTGCTGTAAAGGGCGTATTTGGAAGGAAAGTAGCTCAAGAGTTCGAATTTCCACAATGTCCCTACCTCGTAGCGGAGACGGCCCATCATCGGCGGGTTCTGCTGGCGGGCCTCCTCGACGGCGTCGGTGGCGCGGGCCTTCGGAAACTCGTTCTTCTGTAAAGGGCGTATTTGGAAGGAAAGTAATTATTAGAAAGACAGAGCGAGCAACATAGAGTGAGTAAACGGAGGAGGAAAGAGAGAGAGAGAGAGAGAGAGAGAGAGAGGGAGAGAGATGAGAGAGATGTGATTGGCTGGATTGCGAACATTACAAGTGAGCCGTTATCAACCACCTCATTGGCCATTTTTGGTGAAAACTCGACGATTGGCTTTCCGGGAAACGAGTATGCCAGTATCAGCGCGCGGATGTCCTCTTCGATCCGCGCCTTGTAGACCAGGATCTTGTCCCGGATCTCGTGGGGACTGAAAAACAAAATTTGGGGCTGCTAACAACAATATGCCCCAATAACCTTCGTATTGGTCTTTGCAAAATTAGCGAAATACGAAAATCAGTGTTCGTAAGGGAGGACCCCTATGACTTTTGCCCAAAACAATTGCTGCCTGCGGCGCTTTTTATAGGTGGCTCAAGCCAATTTTAGCGCCATAGACACCATTTTTGGTTTCCCATTGTTTTTGGTCAGTCTGCCGACAATTTCTTTTCACAAGTGGTTTTTTGCCGCGATTTTTTCAATTATGGCGCTTTATTTGGCCTATTTCGGAAAAATTTAACCCTAGTGGCGCTGGTTTCCGAATTTTTAGACCGTTTTCGGCTGCCCAAATCCTTTTTTCTACCCATTTCTAAAAGTGTCGACGGGGGTCCGAAGACCTGACCTCCCAATTCCGGCAAAGGATACCTGTAGCGGGCAGCAGGAACATTGATGTTGCCCTCGACTGCGACCTTCGACCGGCCGGTTTCGTGGTCTTGATAACTGGAGACCGTCATTGGCCCGACGGCAACTCATCCGAGCCGGTGGGCGAGCGATTGGCGGAGACGCCCCAGATTGAACTAAGAAAGCTTTATTGGGATCTTTCAAGGTTTTTACCCAGTGGCCGACGTCTGGCAGGAAGAGTGCGTTAAAACGCATAAGCATCTTGTTGGCGAAGAAGTTGCTCGTGGCCACCGATTTGTGCGCACGTACAGCCGTATAGCCTGCAACCAGAACTCATTTTTCTACGAGGCAGTGGGCGCACAAGAGTGTAATACCGGTAATAGGATCCTTAAAATAAATAAGGTTGCTCAAAAATAATAAGGGTCCTTAAAAACAAAAGTTGTTTTTGAAACGTAAAGAGCGCCACAGCCAAATCACAGGGAAAATTTCACTCCCCGCTATCTGTTCTGGACAAATGTTGTAGGATTTTGAAGGTGGCTAGTGGACTATACGGTATTTTTCGCTATGCTTTTCGACTCAAACGTCACTATAATTCTACATACGTTATTTTCAAAAGTTTATAATGGTACAATTCGGGTAGGTACAATTGATGGCGCTATTTCTGAAAGCCATAAATGCCTCACGAAAGTTTATTTTGGCGGTATTTGTAAAACTGCCAAGTTAGCAACTAAAATGAAAAGTGCGCAGGATTTTGATATCGAAATCGGATTCCCCATTGCATAATGGACATCAAGTGAAATTGTCACAAAATTTGGAGCTACTTTACTCTATCTCCTAGAGCCTAAAATACAGTTAGCTAGCTAGCTGAATTTTAGCCAAATTACCATTCCGCCCGACGCGCGTAGCTGCCCGGCGGCGAATGCCCCAGAGGCCCGAGCCGTGGAGTCCCTCTACAACGCAAAAATCAACGTAATATTCAACAAGCACTGACCGTTTGCATGACGGTGGACCCGAAAAAGGATGATCGATGCCCTGTGTATGGTAAACCATATGAAGTATAATTTGATGCATGCAAATTTTGCAGATTTGTATGTAGCTACTTCCCCAGCCAAAACTAACCACTCGAGGGACAGTTCAGAAAGCTCGGGTGTTTACAGGTCACGATGTGATTCTGAAAGACATCGGAAATTCTTCAAGAGAATCAACAACTATAATAAAGAGAGGTGCTAATGCAGTTAGGGGGGCAGTCCGAAATTGGTATAAGGGTTACGAGACGCTCCGCTTAAGCTACTTGGTTTTCTGGTTAAGCCTAGGCTTAACTTAGCTTTAACTAAGCTTGGCTTAGGCTTAGGCTTAAGCTTAAGCCCAAGCTAAGCTGAAATTGAGCTTTAAATTGCCTTAGGTGGTCAAAATGGGGTCATTTAGGACTAAGCTTAGAGCTAAGCTTAGCTTGGCTCAAGCTAAGCTTAGACTTCGTTTGTATGAAGCTAAGCGTAGGCTTAGGCTTGGCTTAGCTTTTCCAGAGGCTTCGAGTTTCAAAAACGGCATTTGGAGCGTCTTGTAGTCAAAATCCGGACTGCCCCCCCAAGTGCATTAGCACCTAAAGAGATTGTATATCCGTCTGTCCGTCCGTGTGAAGCCGAATTCAACTCAAAGAGCTTAGGTCTGTTCGGATTCGGTAAGAGCGCGGTCAGAAACCCCCAAACTGATGGAAAAGTTGTTGCGGATATTAAATGGCTCTTTAGTTTAACAGTTGGAAACGGATGTTTCCCACTTTCACACAACGTGAGGGCGCGGCAAAAGACAACGAGGACGAATTTTCACATCAAGTTCTGCTTTTGAGAGCCACACATCAAATCCCAGCATGACAATTTGCCCAAATATGGAATTCTAAAAAAGTGGCCGTTTGGACGACGTGCTGAAATTGCGCGTGTTTCTCTACGTTCGGAAAATCAATAGTGATGAAACTTCCATACAAACAGAAAGATAAGAGCTTTATTCATCAACGTGAACACGTAAAAACATTCAAACAAGAACCGTAATTACAGGTGAGCAGGCGAGAAACATACAAAAGAATTACAAGAAAACGACAGAGAGAAATTACATCTACAGAATCGTAGGCACTAGCGCTAATAACAAGTGACAAACATATACATATGCTTACGGTGGTGTGGCTTTATTACTTGATTTCCTTGTCGCGGAGGCATTTGCGATGTGCGTCGACGAGGGCCATGCACGATTCGCGGCTTCCCCACATCGCCACGCAGTCGTTTAGAGCCTGGAAAAGAGAAATTAGGAATTAAACGACAGGAAAATTTACTTTCACGGTTTCCGCTATTCCCTGGAGTGAATTTTTCAGTCGGAATCGATGTAGAAATGTTCAAAATGTGGATCAATCTCTTGCCGAAAAACAACCAGCAAAAATCAAAATTGTATACACTGAAAAAGCCGAAAATCCGACCGAAAAATCACTTTGGGGGGTAGGGACCAAAAATTAAATCAAACCGAAGCGTCAATTACGAAAAATCCTAAAACACGAAAAGCCACCTTTTGAGTCATCGCGCACAGCTGAACGTGTTGTTGAGGGGCTGCCGGTAGGGCGAGCGGCTGAAGATACTGGAGCTCGGGCGGGGCGAGCGGCGGCTAAAATGGCATAAAAAACTACGTTCAAAAAATTTTACCTCTTGCTCCTTGACTGCTGAAGTTGTGGCGCCCATCTTGAACTATTCCTTCTGGAAAAGAGGAGGTTTGGAACCTAGAAGGTTTGGAACGTTGTCGGGGGACCTGGAAAACGGTTCTATTCCGTCTAATTATTATTACACAAAAATCCAAAAATTTAAGCGATCTACCTATTCAACAAATGCTAAAAACTGTTCCAGAACCCCGTAGCTATTTAAACTAGCGGAAAACACAAGAAAAATACATATCCATTATTACAAGCTACGAATAGGCTCCCCAAGAAAATAAAAGGCATTGTAATCCCCGGACAACGTTCCCGCATTTCCTGCAAAGAACGCGAAATCCTACTATATATAAAAAATAGTGTCTGTGTGTGTGTCTGTGTGCATTTGCATACAACTTCCGTCAGGTTGTTCCAGTAGTATCTCAATAAGGGGAGTAGCTAAGCGCAAGTTTGATACGTCATTAGGTGCGTAATGGCCTGGGGATGACTGCACACCAATAGAATTTTCAAAAGTGAGCTGTTTTGACATTAAAATTAAGTTTTTGTTGAAAAATGGGCCACCCTCTTTGTTAGGAAACAATTAGCATACGCCGGAAGTTGCGGTAGCCTATATAAGGGAAGAGAGGGAACGTTTCTGATTTTTTGTCATCGAAAATGGTGAGAATTATGCAAAGTGAAGAATATCATCGGATCAGACGGGGCCAGGGTTGAAAAGTCGCGAAGCGGCTTTTCAACCCTGGTAAACTTAAAAAAAATCATAGCCTCAAAATAGGGCGTAAAAACTCGTCCGAACTATTTTCCCACTCACTAGGTTTATTTGCACCAATTCACAAAAAGCATCACACATCACATATAGTAAAAACAGCACACAAAAATATGGGTAGTTGGGGCAAGTCGGGGGGCCGCATGGCGTCTCATTCCCACTTCTTGAATTCCATAGAGTCCGGGGGTCTAAACGAGAATTAAGAAGCAAAAAAGGGTTTCTTACTTAGTTTCAGTCTTCTGCTTGCTGATCTCGTCCCAGTTTGTCGACAAGACGGTGCCGTTCGATTCACTAAAAAAACACAGATAAAAAGCTACAAAAGGCCGAACCTGTAGCTCTTCATCATGGCCCTTCGCACGTCATCGTTCGCGTTCGAGTAGATGTTCTTGAACATTTTGTCGACGGCCGCCTCGCCGGTTGCTTCTTCTTCTTCGCGTTCAGCTTCCTGAAAAAAAAAATACTCGCCAGACTAGCAAGATACCTTTTCAATGGCATCCCAGTTCTTCTTCGGCGCTTGCGAGCTGGCGGCGGGCGCATCTTCTGTTTGAACGAGCGCTGGCCATCGGCCGGTCGTTGTCTTGGGCATGCTTATTTCCACCTAGAAATCGAAAAATCGGCGCTGTACTTTTTTCTACGAATCCAAAAATTCCGAATAATGTAGTAGGCAGGATCCTGGTGCTGAAGCGTTATCGGGCCCTCAAAACTTCGCTTTTGTTAGCAAAAAAATCTAATTTCAGACCTTTCCAACCTTGATAAAAATTTGTATACAAAACGCTGGCCAAAAAAAACAGTTTTTAAACTTTAAAAAATGTCTTATAACAATCTAGCTACCCAAAACTCGATACGGAACCCGCTAACTCTGAATAAAAACACCAAACTCTTTTAAACTAGCAAATATTAAGTCGTTATTACCAGGAGTGCATAAGCTAAGGAAAGGGAAATGGCTTGGTCCCCCTATAACGATCCAGCACAAGAATTTTCATAATTTTTTAAATCAATTTAGCTATTTACTAGCCAAAAAACTGTAGAGATCGCTAAAATTACCTTCGCCGGCGTGCATTTGACGACAAACTTGCTGGAATCGACGGGCGCGGCCAGCGTTCCGCCCCATATCGCGTCCCCTTCCACGGTGATTGTCAGCGTGTTGCGCTCAGGGTCCAGCAATGCCTAGAAAAAGCAATAGATCGAAAAACATAAAAATACGAACTTTACAAGCTTCGAGTGCGACGCCCCGCTTCAGGATTGTCAGCGTCACGTGGGTTTCGGTTTGGAACCAGTCGTACCTGAACTGAAATATTTCTAAAAACAAGCGGAAATTACTTGCAATTGCTTGTCGCCATCGGAAGTGAAGAGGGGAACCGTTCGCTGGAGGACTGAAAATGCTTAGGATTAGAGTAAGTTGAAAACGTTGAGCTGAATGGAAAGCAGCAGGTTAAATAATGTTCAGGTCGCGAAACGCGCCGACAAGCTCGGATAAAGACTTTCAGAGATTCATATAAGAGAAACGAATCGTTTATATCGATGAAAAGGTAGCGGATAGTTGGTAGTTAGCAAATGTCGTATGGTTCTCACCCTTTTAACGCATTATTTATACGGATTTAGAACCTAAGAAACCTCTTTCTATGTACAACGTATGCTATGATGCCTTAATTAGTATTTAGCAGAGAGTTTAACTTGATTTTTATTACTACCCCAAAATGAACGCGCAAATCGCTCCACGCGAGCCGTGCGACATCTTGCTAATAGCCAGGATTCTAATGCTATCGATAGTTCCTAATTAATAACACTAATAAGGAAACACTAATAGTTCTTAACGCTCGAATCACTTTCAACGGCCCGCAGACAAATCTGAGGGCCGGAATTGCGTGTCGTTTTGGCCCATTCGTCCAAATCTTTTAGGAAGCAGTATCAGAACAAGGAAAACGCAAGCGAAATTTCACATTTTCACTAAATTGGAAGTTCGATAATTTTTTGTTTCGAATATTTTTCAGCAAAACTCCGTTGTTTTTCTCAATTTTCGAACAATTTTCCCTGGGCGGTGATGAAATGCCGGTAGGGCGCAGGGTAGCGGCGGGGATAGTAGCGCTTCGTACTACCAACGAGGGCTGTAAATTTATTTTTATTCAATTTTAAAGTATTTTTTAGTAGTTTTGGCCATTTTCTTGACTTTTAATGTATCCATTTAATATATAATTGAAGTTCCTGTAGCTTTTGACTTTTCTAGATAGCTGTATTCTTAGCAAATATTTTGAATGCGGGGTGTTTTGGCAGATTTTTCGTGGTTTTATGGCGTCAACGTTTCCCATATAAGTTTATTCACACAAAAATCACCTGATTTTCTTTTCAATGGACATTGTAACGGGGTAGGAGGAGGAGGGGGGTCACGCACAAGGAAAAAAATTTGAAATTTTGAGATGAATGTTGGGTCGCGGGACCCGATCCCCAGTGTGTTTTTGTATACAGCATATTTGGCTTTTAGGGTCAAATAAAAGGGGGCGGTGTTGGATCACATTATTACGAGAAGACTAGTCGACTGGTTACCATATAGATATAGAATTCCTAGCATAGGATAAATAACGTTAAAAAGGCGATTTTCGGCGTGAAAACAGGACCGAAAAATCGTAGAGAATCGGTGGATACATAAAAATTACCGGAGATTTCGTGTTTTCTTGCAAAAAGTAGCAATAATAAAAGTGTATAATGAAATTTCGGTTCTTTTGCTTGATCGGGGGACCTATTTTTCCTGAGGATCTAATTTTCGCTTATAAATAGAACAAGTATTTTTTTGGTTTTTCGGTTTTTCTAAGCTTTTTATTGGTTTTTCCACTTAAATATAGTTAAATTTCACTAAAAACACGATTAAAAAAATCTCTATTGTTTTACTAGCATTTCTGGATCCGTAGAAAAAGGTTGGTCCCCCGATAATGCAAAAGAACCGAGAAAAATTCGCTAAACTGATGTTGACTAACTGGGGGCGAATCAATGGGGGTTTTCGAGTTGTTTCGCTGCCGAATCGGGGGTTTTGAGGAGTATAGAATTTTTGTAACAACGTGATAGATATCTGGGCGAGCGGGAGGGCAAAAATTTTGTAAAAAAAAACAATTTTCAAAACCGAAACTGAATCTCATGTTTTGCAAAAACGAAATGCTACGTTGTACTACAAATGGCGGGGCGTAATAAGCAGTAAAAAAAAGGGGGGGATTGTTGATGGTGGATGGCCATTCCGCACACATTTCCTCGCAAAAAAATAGCAGGGGCGGGGGAAGTTGAGGAAATGTGGATCGGCTGGGTGTCGTCTTCAGGGGAACTCGCTGGGTGGTAGAACAATTTGAACATTCTTCTCTCGCCGCGCACAGATTGATCTATAATTTTAATAGTTAGATACAGTTTTTTTGCTGTTTCATTAACACTATAGATAATTTTATCATTGCCATTTGTCAGATTTTAGGAAATTTTTGTTTTAAAGGATTATGAAGGTAAAAAGCTCATTTCGACGGGGTAATCGATTAGCGATAGAAAATTCCTAAATTTCCTCGATCATGGAGCCAACTTCTTAACGCTTTTTCCAGCTAGAATTTGCTGAGGATTGAACGTTCCACTCGAATACACCATTGCAGCGCTTGATTTCATGTCGTAATCGGTTTTACTAGCCTTTTTTACGTATTTTTCAATACAAAAACTTTTTCAGCCTAATTCGAATTTTTTCTGGAACCTATATTTCGAATCGTAATCGGTTTTGGGATCAAATTTAATGTTGTGATCAGTTGAGCGGTAGGCATTAACGCCGTACTCAGTTGTGCAGTGGAATTTAATGCCGTAATCATTTGGGGATTGCAATTTTAATTTTAAAATTGGTGGAATTTGTGCTTCCTTTAGAACATCACGGATCGATAATTAATTTTAATCTGATTTTTAAGCATAAAAATTCTAATATCTAGAATGGAAAAGAAACTAGGCTTTTAGGCTTTTTAAATATCATTTAAACCTACCGTAGCGATCAGCGCTGCCGCGTCGTGACGCGCGCTATCAACCAAGATAGGCGCAGAAGAAGTTCTCGTCGTTCTCGGCGAGTTCCCGTGCAGATGGCTCATCCGCGTACCGTCAAGCTCTTTTCATACAGAGCTCCTGAATCGGGTTATATGATTACGCCATTAAAACTGTCCCAACAGGCATTTTAAAGGAATTTAGAAGGCAAAAAACCAATTGGAAGGCAAAATCTACCGTAAATGTGTCAAAAATCGTCAAAAACCCACTTTCACGAACGGGTCGAC